ATGATGGAAACTTTCTTGAAAAACAATGAAAAATTGAGCTTGAAGGAATTTACCTTGTATGACAGGCACTTATATGGTGCTGTTTTAAAAGGCTTGAAATGTATTGTTCCTTTAAGGTACTTCTTTGGAAGTAGATTTCCGATTCTCTTACATAAACTTATTTTCTTGAATGGCCACCGTTTGCAAAGTTCTGCATCTGCATGGTGTTTAACTGTTTACGTGTAACTTTAACCCATTTGAATGGTATCTCTTTTCCACTAATGATAGTTTTTACTTATAACCTATTATATTTCAGAGTTTGCCGTGTGTTACAGTAGCACGTTTTGCTAGTGATCTGAATTTCTGAAACATTACTTTTCATGTTCACTTTCATATAGACAATTTCTGCCCAGCATGTTTAGTTGAACCTCAGGGAATCATTTAATGGGATGCAGTTTTCCTAAAAATCTTCACTGACTCTGAAGTTTCCTGTGGTAGTCATCCTTGAAGAGATTTACATACTGAAAATCCTATTTTTAAGTGAGTGTCTTGTGGGATTATTTTAAAAGCATATATTTTAATGTCCAGTCTAAACCTTTACTGTAGCATCTAAGTTTCCTTCATAGCACTAAAGAAAGGTGGTGGTTACGTGTTTGTGCTGCTTCATGACAAGGCCGTGTTCTGGAAACTGCAGACGTCACACGGTGCATTTGTGCAGACTGAGTACGGCAGCTTGAGCAGGCAGCAGAGTCTGAGGGCTCACTTGTACGTGTGCTGCACCCTTGACTGAACCGACTTTGATGCCAAATCCGTGTATGCTCTTTGGGTAACAAACATTTTCTTTTTCTAAATACCTTCAATATTTTAATGTATGTATTTTTCATTACCAAGTTAAGTCCCCTCATCTCATCAGTCTGCGTTTGTTTCACCCCTGTGACCAAATACCTGACGCACAAATTAAAGGAGGAAGGGTTGTCACTTCCAGTGCCTGGCTGGCTCCAAGGCAGGGACCCATGGCTGAGGGTGGCAGTGGATGGAGCTCCTCACCCCATGGAACCAACAAGCAGAGACGACTGGAAAGTCAGAGAGGAGGCAGCCAAGGACCGTAGTCCCCAGGATCTGCCCCAGTGACCCACCAGACACACCCTGAAGTGTGCTCTTCGCATTCCCCAAGCATCTCGCAATCCAAGATGGACACACCCCTTGCTAAATCTTTCTAAACTGTGGGCACATAAGAAGTAGAGTGTGAGCTGTCACATAACCTCAGCCGACAGGGATGACCTGATGTGACGATTGTTCGCGTCTTTCCCTGTTCTCCAGTGTGCATGCATCTGTGTGTGCTCACACACAGCATCGGCGTCTTTATCGTTCTGAACTCTTAACACTGTTACCCTGCAGGGTTTCACACTGCATGCATTGGCACAAAGAATGCAGGAAACACTGAGGTAAAAAGAAGGCTTCTGTTTTTCCCTTTTCATCTATTAACATTTTTTAATCTAAACTGTTTGAGGTTATGACTTTTGTTTATTAGTATTTTCATCTTTATTATAGAACCCTGCATTTACTATGGATACCACACTGTTGCTTGCTTACTTTGCCCATGTGTTTAGGTTTCATATCAATGTTTGACTAGCTGCATGAATGCACGCAGGATTGATAAGAAATCTAAAAGCTGTTGAAGTGTGACATCCGCAGTGGGTAGTAGGCATGTGGACCCGGGCCAGGGTGGGGCTGAAGGAGGGCGGTATCTAGCATAGGCCACCTGCACCAGGCAAGACTTGAGCTGCACTTGAAAATGGGCCAAGGGATCATTACTCACAGGAGATGAAGAAGTTATTCCCGGACAGTATGCAGCAGCCTGGAGAGAAAAGAGCAAGTTCTGTTCTGGAAATCAAGAATAGTTCCCTTTGCCTAGAGCAAAGGGTCCGATATAGAAAGTCGGACACGTGTCTGCAGAGATGGACAAGAGCTAATTTATGAATTTAGGTTTGCTATTTTACTTTAAGGCATTTAAACTTTTAAATTTTGGGAAGGTGTTGCTGTGCTCAGATTTGAAATTCAGGAAGCCTCTCCTGACACAGGAAGATGGTCTGAGGGGTGTCAGTGTGGAGCAGGACCAGGTTGTGTCTAGTGCAGACAGACATTCATGTTTTTTCAGTGCCATAGCTGTCAAAAGGAGAAAAGGAAATCTTTTTTAAATTACTCTATAGTCGGAGTTAAGCTAACTCTGGAACAATATACACCCAGGGAGTGGTTGGGATTAAGCATAGGGGAGCGTTTTATTTTTTTCTAGAGATACTTTTGTTTTATTGGCATTTTAATCTTTTTATTTTTTATCTTTCCAGTACTGGGAATTGAACTCAGGACCTTGCACTTGCCAGGCAGGTGTGGCGCCACTAAGCTACATCCCCGGCCCTTGGAGTTCTAGTTTGTTTGTTTTTCTTCAGCTTTGAGTTTATTGGTACATTTTAGGGATACGGTACAGTTACATTCATTGTTGGGATCTTGTACCTTTACATGACAGGTCTTGGTTCTCATTTTTTCCCCTTACCTCTGCCCTCCCTTCACCCCCTCCTCCCCTCCCCATCTACAATCACTTTATTTCCATCTTTTCATTTTCTCACATTTTTTTCTTTTCCCTCATTACCTTTCCTCTACCTATCCCACCTTCCCTACACCTTTAGCCCCTTTCTTCCCATTTCACAATGTCAGTAATCTCATTAGGATCTTATGTACTATTACAGTTTATTCACACCAGAGAAACTATTCAGTATTTACACATGTGTGCCTTATTTATTTCACTTAGGAGTATATCTTCAATATGTATCCATTTTCCTATGAATACATCTAATTTCTCATTCTATATGGCTGAGTAATATTCCATTTCTAGTTTTTAATCTAACACAGACTTTAATAATTAAACAATTTACTTTTTAATTATTTTTCTCAATAACTGCACCAAAACCATATAAGAAATATCTGACTCTAGCTGTGTGATGATTGATTTGGTGGACCCCAGCTGTATTAACCCAAATTCTAACATGGCCACTAAAAGTTGGTGCAGTATTAGTGGGCATTCTTATTAATATTTTACAGTAGCCGAATAAAGAGTGTTTCCAACCTGCTTTGCAGTGATCAGGTTGATGTGGGATTGTGTGTTCGATTTGGTGTCAAAGTTAGGATGGTCACCTTGGAGCATGAGCAGGAAGAATGAACCAAAGGGTAAATGACCTAAAATTGCACTAGACAAGGACCTCTTAAAGACAATAACTCGCCCATATCTCCAGCTGTCACCTTGTACACTTTGAACTGTTTTTTTTTTTTTGTTTGTTTGTTTTTTCGTGGTACCGGGGATCAAACTTGGGTCCCTGTGCTTGTGAGGTAGGCCACCGAACCGCTGAGCTAAATCCCCGGCCCTGAACTGATACAGTTTTATGGAGTAGTTATATCTGAATAAGTTGGGGGCAAAAGAAAATGGGGCATGGAGTTTAGAGAAGATCAGGCAAAAGATTTGACTTTTGGGTAATGATAATATATGAAAGAGAAGACACATCTCATTACATTTCTGAGCAACTGGAATAAGGAATTGAAGTTACTAACAGGGAAAATTTTGAATTAAGAAATTGAATGGGTGTCATATTTTCCTGCTTAAAATGGATATTTTTGATGTTTTTGTCAGCTTTTCATACACAGGCAAAAACTGCAAAATTCCTTCACTGAGCTAGTATTTGGCCAGTTGTACCATGAAAGATTTCATAAAGTGTAACCATATTTACTTGTATTTAAATCCATTTGATACATTTGCATATTTTTCTCATTAAATAAAATCAACAGATTGATTTAGTGGGTTAGTTGCATCATATTTATTTTCATGTTTCCAAGTAGTGCACTAAAGGGGAATACTGACATACTGACAATATTAAATAGTTTGCTCAGTCGGAATGAATCTCGCCTGCATTGAACCCTGGATGCCACCTTCTCACATGGGCCACACTCCTGAGTCTAACCTTCTTTATGCACAGCTGGTGCATTGTGCCTTCTCACCAACAAAGACAGAACCTGCTGGACAGGAGAGCGGCCCCACATAGAGGCAGGTGGCCAATACCAGGAAGATACCATGGCTGGATTCGGGCACCTGGGCAGCTGTGACCACCCCGCACAGCACCCGTACTAACCCACACAGGGGCTCGGGGCCATGTCACCACACCATTTCTTCATCCCAATTCACACACAGTTCGCATGCTTCGGGCAAATCAACATACTTGCAAAATGTGTCACGTGTGAGCTCCAGGAAATACTGCAGATGTGACAGGATCAGGGCCAATGTTCTGCAAGTGTGCGACAAGTTCCTTGGTTGCAAAATTGGTGTGTCAGTTGTTGGAGCTTTCCAGAGAACCAGAAACACTAGGCTGAGTGTGTGTATATACAAACACACATATATTTACATATTGTAAATGGGGGGGAGGGAGAGGGACAGAAAGAGAAAGAGAAGAAAGAAAGAAAGAAAGAAAGAAAGGAAGGAAGGAAGGAAGGGAGGAAGGGAGGGAGGGAGGGAGGGAGGGAAGGGGAGAAAAGAGAATATGAATAACGCGTCAGCTGCTACCATTCCAGAGCCTGCCAGGTCCCACGCTCTGAAACTGCGCCCAGTCTGGTTCCTTCCCAACTGAAGATAAACGGCCTGACATGCAGGAAGAGCTTAGGTTTCATTTAGTCTGAAGGCGGAAAAAAGAACCCAGGCCCAGTTTGAGGACAGGCAGATGGGAGGAATTCTGTGCACTCACGGAGGGTCCCTTCTCATGTCCTGTGCAGGCCCTCAGCACCCCCGGTAGGGGGAGCCATTGATCTGCTCGATGCAGGCTGCAGACTTTAGTGCAAATCTAGCCAGAACCACCACCAGAGCGTTTGGAGTGATGTTTGGACGTGGCGCTCACGGCCCAGTCAAACTGACAGCAAACTACGCGTCTCGGATTCATGCAAGTGTTTCTGGCACGTGATGTATTAATTAAGTCTTCCTCCTCCAGGAATCATTTACTTGACATCAACTCTCGCTCACTTGGAGCCCACTACGCTGTTTCTGACGGTGTGCGCTCGTGACGGCGGCGGACTCGCGGCTGTCACGAATGCCGAGGTCACTGTCCACGTCCTGCGCACCGCGCTGGCGCCTGCTGAATTTGAGAGGCCCACGTATTCCTTCTCCGTAAGTGAAGATGCGCCCGAAGACACGCCTGTGGGAGCAGTGAAAGCGAGAGCGTCCTCGAGTGAGTACCTGCCTCCTCCGGGCATCTTCCTGGGCCCTGCGCTCGCGTAGTTCTTTCCTTCTCGACGACAGCACAAGCCGGGCTGGCTCCTCGTCCTGTCAGCCTTGTTCCTGTCCATTTTATTCTTTTTTCTGATGCTGAAAGCAATGCGCATTTTAAAAAGAAGAAAGCTTAAAACAATACAGAATTACAATGTTGAAAATATCTTTTATAATCTACCCCCCAAAACACCGGGCTTTAAGAAAGTTTTTTTCCAAAACTGCATCCTGATATACTTGTCATATGACCTTTATCACTCTGTGCATGCGTTTGTGTGCGTGTGTGCACTTCCCAGATAACCCGCACATCCTTCTGTCTGCTTTTATAAGATGGTGTTTTATTTAAACACTTTTTTTGCTGTTACCGGGGATTGAACTTGGGTCCTTGTGCTTACGAGGCAGGCGGCAGAACCACTCAGCTAAGTCCCCGGCCCAACACTTTCTTTTGGCTACCAATATGAATGACTCGAACCTTTTGCTAGTGCAAATAATACTTGAGCAAAACTCCTTGCGCGGCCCCCTTTCACACGTGCACAGGCGCTTCTGCGGGACAGATTCCTCGAAGGAATTTCCTGTCCACAGAGCTTCACCTCCGTCCCTCTCCTCTGCCATTCGTGGGGAGAGGTGGCAGTGCCTTCCCCAAACACACGAGAAAGATGCCCGGTCGTCCTGGGCTCCCTTCCCTTTCACCCACAGGACAAAGCCAGGAAGCCCGCGCTTGCCCTTTGTCCCCTGCGCGTTTCCTTTGGGCCTCACGAAGTCTTCAGCCGCGTCGCCCTGCGGCAGGGTTTGGAGAGCAGAGGAGGAAGGGACGGAGCAGCTGCGCTCCCCGCGGTGGCCTCCTCGCGGGTTCTCAGCAGGTTCAGCCTCCAGCTCACCCGACTGCCCTGTCTTTGCAGACTCCTCCCAACCCGTCTTGTACACCATCTCCTCGGGCGACCCGGACGGGAGGTTCGCCGTCCACCCGCGGCTGGGCACCATTCGCACCCGGAAGGCCCT